TTATTGAATTTATGCCAATGTGAGACCAATCCTCAAGAGTGTCACGTCTCTTTTAATCCTTGAATTAGATGAAAATCTAAGCCTCCATTAATGGAGGAAAACAACAAGTCGTAAAGGTGAGAGGAGCTGAGAGAGAGAGAAGAGAAGAGAAGAGCCAAAAAATTAAATTCAAAATTTAAAATTTCGTTTGTCACTTTGTTCCATTTTTTGGGCTATGAAAACGGCCTCTTTTTGGTTCGTGGCCTAAGTACAATTGTAACCTTGGATGTCAGCTTCAAAACGCCACTAGAATGGGCTTAATTGGATGTCTGTGGACTAAGATATGGCCCAAATACTGCACCTTACTCAAGATCTGCGACTGTAGCGTTCCAACTTTTTTCAGGTTCAGTTTCAGCTTCTTATCATCAGAATTGGTTTCTGACCTCTCATAGGAATTGTGCGCTTTTCTCTTAGCTTTCCTACAAATCAAGAATCATAATGAAAGAAGTTCTACAACTCAAGATATGGTCCAGAAACCAAAACAGTATCAGAATTTGTCAAATACTGAAAAAATTAAATAAAGTCCAAATAAAATTCAAACATCATAAAATGATATAATTCAACCAATTAAGCACAAAAGAGGATTAATGAGCTAGGAATTAGAGAAAATAATGTTATAAAAATCCAATTGATCAATTATATATTGTTAAGTTAAATTTTCAATAAACAGATAAATTTATATATTTAAATTATTTTATTAATTGTATTAAAATAATTTATAGTTTGATATGTATTTTAAATTCTAAAATTTATTTTGAACCAAAAATTTTACACTTATAATATTATTAGTTTATATTATATATTGTTAAGTTAAATTTTTAATAAAAAGATAATTTTATAGGTGAAAATACTATATATAAAATAAAATTAAAATTACATTAAATCAAAAATTGTTAATTTTTTTATCCTTAAATCAACAATTTCAAACATTTGAATTAATAATACAGGACCAACTAATTTAAAAGCTTAAAAATTTGAGTAAAAAATTACAAATAATTTTATATTATAGCAAAGTTCGAAAGAATTTAATAATAGATAATATGAATGAGCAAACATGGTATCTTACTACCAATTCAAATCATCAACACATTCAATGCTTGTGAGCGAAAAAGGCACAATGATAATAGAGAGGGGACTCTGAACATAACATGATTAGATCATGAATGCAAGAGGGTCGCATAATGGACAAAACAAATGGCATAGGTGCTCGTGACCATGAGGTATGTAGCTAAAATTAGATTCCCTATATATCATGATAGAAATTGAGCTACAACATTATCAAGAAATAACTAACATAGATTATTTACTTATATATCCTGTTCAAAAGAAACTCCTATACAAGACAAGAGTGGCTTCAGTCTGCAGTGCACAGCCTTGTCTTTGTCATCGAAATCCATGTAAAAACACGCACTTACCGCAGAAACGTCATCTATGAGCATAGGAACTTTGTTCATGCCCATCCAACATAACAACTTATATATGTCCTCAAACTTCTCCCTGTCATTATATAATGCACAGCTCATTTGGTCGATATTTATGATCCGTAAATGAATCGAATTTGAGCATGGGAAAAGAAAAGTTTTTCTATGTATTGTTTTAATGATCCGTCAAAGTCATTAAAAGGAGAAATGAAAAGGGAGGTGTTCAGTGACAAATGATATTTCGCTGGACGCAAGTGAGAAAGGTACAAAAGCTACATAAAATCAGACATTACATGTGAGTTTGCTTGTGACAATTAGAGAAAGAAACCAACTCTAAATCCAGGTGGTTGAGCTTGATTGAGTTCTTTACATCTTTGACCAAAGCTCCAAGAAGAGTTGTGAAGTTGCTATGGATCGTTACTTGATTTTTATTGGCACACATTGGAAGCAAGGGCCCAATAGAAAGAAAAATTACATAGCATAAGTCCAAACCATTCACAATTCGTAGCCATTAGCCGAATAAAGATGGAGATATCTCATCCATTCCTCAAGCCCAGTTTTATGGGTTAAATTCAAGTGCGGTAATTTAAAAGAAAAAGAAAAGACATGGTAATTTTTTTTCTACCAATATTTTTTAATTTAATATTTTAAAAATAAGAAATTAATATATATTTAATAGCCCAATCTTTGATTTATTTTCGTAATTGACTACGTGAGAAATGAAAACGAAAAAAAGGTAATCTTACTGTTAACTAGGATTACTTATTTTGGTGTCCTGTTCAGTTTGTAGCAGGACGAAGAAACTGAATGGGACGAGGAATCCAAATTACAAACAACAACACTGCAAGATGTTTATTTAACTGGTGAAGTGCATCGTTTCACCATGAGGGTATCACATTCACTGTTGATGTGAAGATTAATAAGGGTTGAAGAAACGATGCACAGATCGCAAACCATGCTGGTGAACACTAATAATTTATAAGTTGTCTATATAGTGGTAAACAAAATATATATCCTTAGGAACACTAACCAAATTTTTAAGACATAAATAATCTATTATTTCGACATATAAATTATTTAGTTGTTACAATTTGGTCATCCCTGTGTTGTGTGAAGGATGTTATTCCTATCTAGTCTGCTAATAGGATAAGAAATGGGTTATTTTATATGTTACTCAGATTTTCAACAACAAATAAATAAGGACTCTTGAGAGCACAATAAAATGACAATTGTCATGAGTGAGTCAAGAGGAAAACCATGATGCACGTGAAATTTTTCTTGTGGTAGCCAGTTTCAAAGCTTCAAAGGTTATTTAGGCTACATAAAAACATCCTTTTCCACTCATCACGACTTCACAAAGTTATTTCAGGAAAAAGCATCTGACTTCTTTTTCTCCGAGAAAGAAAAAGAAAAACATGACGGGAAAGAAAGAAAGCATCAATTCCTTTGGTAAACAATGATGAATAAAGTGATCAAAAGAAGCTTCGTTGGAAGTGAGCCTTCCTTCTGTTCTTCCACTTATTTCTGAATGACCTGCATTGTCCATAAATATTTAGTCCTTCAAATTTTATACACCAAATGTTGATTCCTAACACCAATGAAAAAAGTTTATATTTTTAATAAAAGATATTTTATATCTTTAACAAAATATATAAAATTTGATATAACAAGTGGTTTTTAGTTTTATGTATTTTTCAGAGTTCTGAATCCGTATGTACTCATTAGCATATCTTTTTTTACTAATATTTACAGTTCCCATGTTGTGTTTGGTCGCTGAATCGCTGCCTCGCACTCAGCGTCTGAGACATTGATGGCGCATGCGCCTTACGCATATGCACTATGCAGTGGGGAAAATCAAAGTGAGAAAGCTGAGCAATGAGCATTCTGTTCCCTCCTTCTTCTGCAACTGCTCTTCAAAAGTCGTTATCCAAGTCATCTCTGTTCCCTATGAATTCTTTATCATATCTCGAGATTTGTATTTTTTTTATTATTTCACGTATAAAGCTAAATGTTTAAATATATATAGTATTTAAAAATATGAAAAAAATAATGTTTACAATTAACAAATTTTATAGATATAAAAATAAAAAATATGATTTTGATTAATTATATCCTGAAAATTTTAATTAAAATCACTGTTTAAGTTTTGTGTTCTTCATTCTCTTCTTATAATCCCTAGACGGCTAGACGGAAGCCCTTCTGACTCGACTCTTCTTTCGTACGGAAGGATAAATTTGCACATTACAACGTTTTTACCCCCTTAAGCAGCTATCCTCACTAATATTTTTTTTAAAATTCTTTTCAATCAAAATAATTATTTAAGAGTTTTATTAATCTCAACCTTTAATAATAATAAAATTTTATTAAATAATATATTTATTATATTTTATAATTTCAATATAATAATTATATTTTTTTTTTATAATTTCTATTATTTATAAATACTTAAACTTAACTTTAAAAACTAAAATTAACAAATTTTATTATTTAATATGCATTTAAAGTTATATAATTGATTTTTTAATGCAAAAATGATAAAATATTATAAATGTATTATATTAATAATATTAAATAATATATTAATTTTTTATTAAATATTTTTATACACATTAAAATTAATTTTTATATAATGCACATATTAAAATATGTAAAATGTCAAAATTATTAATGAATGTGTATATATAAATGTTAGAGTTCGCTAACTATTAAATTTAAACACTTATATTTTTAAATAATTTTTATAGAACAAAAGATTAATTAATTTAATTATTTGTCTAAAACTTAATTATAAAATTTTAATGAATATATATTTTAAAATTATAAAAATATTAAAATTTAAATAATATACATATAAATGTGTAAATTATATTAATTTTGATATATAATTATAAAAATAATATAAAATAATTCAAACAGTTATATATATATAAAAGAGATCTTAACGTTAATATCTGAATACAATGTAAGCAATCAGGGCATAACCATCAATAAGTAAGTGGAGATCATGGAAACTCGTGCTCTTAACACTGTTTCATGTTAATATAAAATTATCATTTCTTCGTGAATAACTAGACGGATTTATAAAAAAATTGTGTTCAGAAATTGTTTAATGGTTTAATCTAAAAAAAGTTTGTAATGTTATTACGAGATAATTAGACGATAATATTAAAATAAATATACTAAAAATGATTAGCTTTGATATTTAATTATTTCTTAAAAAAAAAAACTATAGTTCCCACTAACAGTGAATACTAATCATACTAAATATTTTACTTGTTGAATAATTAGGAGCAAAAGACTTATGTTAATAACTTATTTCATTTAAACTACGAATATTATTTTTTTAAAAGTTTTATTTAAGTTGACAACATTCGCAATATAATATAATGAACCCTTCAAATAATGTTTTTATTTATAAATCTGAGCTTAAGAGCTTACTTAAAGGAATTGACTGGAAATGCATTATTTGATTGAAAGTTTTTAGTGATTTAATTTAGAGCATTTTGTTTATAAAAGTAGGATAATAATTTTGAAGAATTTAAAAGGAAACGAGACAAGAGGGAGGGAGGAAGAGGAGGAGGATGATAATAACAATAATAATAATAAATAAAAGTGAGAGGTGGGTGAGGCAAAGAGCTTTGGGCCGCCGATAGATGTCAGGGCTGCACCCACAGCCATACAACATTCTTCTTCATCCCCAAAGGGACCACACAACTAACTCTTAACATTCAATACTTTCACGGATTATTCTCTCTTTCCCAATCTACCCTTTTATTCCCTCTTAAGCTTAACTTACACAACCATACCATACCATACCATACCATAGTAGCTTTTTCCACATCCCACAATGCTGTGTAAACTCATGTCCGGGCCACGGAAGAAGAAGCCTGGCACTGTTCCCGTTTACATTAACGTATATGACCTCACCCCCATTAATGGCTATGCATATTGGCTTGGCCTTGGAGTTTACCATTCAGGGGTTCAAGGTAATCGAAATCTTTCTTTTTCCACATCTTTTTCTTGTTTCATTCATCTAAAACAAACCCACCCAAAAAATGAAACTTTGGGTCGTTGGGTAGGTATTACTGTTAGTTTTAGACACCACCCGATTCTTAAGGGAAACAAAATCATGGTACTTTTAATTCAAATCCCATGTTGTGCCTTGTTTATGACATGTTTTCCCCGGATGAATTAAAAAAACTCTTCTTTATATCAATGGAAGGTTAAAGTTCATCGCTTTACTTGAATAGGAAGGTCAATTTTTTGTAGACCCAGATATTTATTTCTTCATGCTTGATTGAGTTGGATATTCAATAGGTGGAAAACATTGAAATTAACCGCATGATATCGTAGGTAGGTGGAGTAATCAATTTTGCATACTAAAAATAACGAGTCTTCTCCGATGTTTTTCAACAGCGGGATAAAAGGGTGCTCTTAGTTGGGTTGTTTGGTTAATTAAAACGTTAGCGGTGTGTCAATTGTCGTTACTGATTAATATTATATTCACAATTCAGGCATATTCTCATAGTTAGGTGCGCAATGTGTTTCTTCTATTAGGAATTTATTTAACTTAAATTTTGCTTTGCTTGTTGACGATTAAAATATTATTGGTTTCTTAATTTTCATTTTGTCCTAGTTCATGGCATTGAATACGGTTTTGGGGCGCATGAACTTGACACAACGGGAATCTTTGAAGTGCAACCGAAACACTGTCCTGGGTTCACATTCAGAAAATCAATTTTCATTGGAACAACGGATCTGGGACCGAAAGATGTTCGGGCATTCATGGAGAAACTGGCTAAAGAGTACTCTGGCAGCACCTATCATCTCATCTCAAAAAATTGCAACCACTTCTGTAACGATGTTTGTCTCAAATTAACGGGAAAGTCAATCCCTCGATGGGTCAATCGACTGGCTCGACTTGGTAAGAAATATATCAATTTATTTTCTATTCTCATTGTTACTTTACTTTTAATTTTTCATCCTGTTTGTATCCGTTGGATGTAACTATACAAAGTTTGCAATGATTCTTTTTTTGAAATCTAATTGATGGTTAGTAACTAAAATTCACATTACACTGGAAGCATGCTTGCTTTTTCATGGAGAATATACTCCCCTTGCACAAAGTCACAAGAGAAATGCTCTAAGAACATCTACTGATATACTGTATTAGTATTTAAATCATTGGTTGCTTTTGATTAAGCTACAGTTATCTTTTCCCATTTGTTATGTACCAGTTATGTGATTGGTGTTTGTTCCTATATGTTACCGTCAACTCTTAATTAGAATCTTATGTTTACAGTTATTTAGTTAATTCGGTTACCTATCCACTGAACATCAAGTAACTGAATTAACTGAAAACATAAGTTAACGGTAACACTATGGTGCACCTTGTAAACAAGATTTCTGTGTCCTTTCCTAGTAAATAACAACTAGTGAGCATTTCTAATGTTATGTTGTGGTCCTATGAAGGTCTTCTTTGCAACTGTGTTCTTCCCCCTGGCCTAAATGACACAAAGGTTCAACAAGTTACATTGGAAAGGGTTCAGGAAGGAGAAAAGAGGAAAACGAGAAGTCAATCAAGCAGGTTCGGGGCTTCCTCCAATTCTTCATTATCGTCTTCATCTCGAGGTTCAGCCATTAAAAGTAGTAGCCAAAGACATTGCCTTCCTCCGACTTCATCTTTGATTCATAATTCTTCAACCTCAACCTTAACAGTGAAGTAAAGCTTTGGCAGGAGATAGACTCTGAATTATAGGGGTTTAGAATGATGTTAGCAACCTAAGATGAGCAGGGAAGAAAATTGTTTATTGGCTCCATCTTTCTGTTCTGCTGTATATGTTTCATAGTGAGCAATAGCTACTATGGAATGGTTGCTTTGTTTTCTCTATGTTCTTTTTAAAATGCTTTCTATAGTGAATGGAAAGTTCCTTTTTTTCTACATTTTTTGGCTTTGTATTCTTGAATTTTTTATATTTTAACTTGCATGGTTATATAGCATGTTTGGCCCGGTTACCTAGTTTTGAGGATGAAAATGACGTTTTATTCTCAAACCATTGTATTTAGTGAAAATTGCCAACTTACTAATATGCTAGGACCCTGTTTAACTGCTTACATAAACAGCCTTATTGGGTCATTTGGGCTCGAGCATTTGGACTTAATCTAAGCATATGGAATTAGAAAAATAAAATAAAATAAAATGGTTTACCTTTGACTTTAAACAAATTTTAAATTGATTTATTTAGGAAGAGCATGGGTGTATGCATTTTTTTCTTGAATACAGCACCTGATGATATATTCGAGTCAAAGCTTTTTCTCAAAACAATTAATACAAAGTGTATGTCTAGGACTTGAACTTCAAACTATTGATTAAATTAAGACAATCTGGAGTCAGTTTGTTTATTTTACTTGGTAACGTGGGTGGTATGTGTTTGAATGTGTAGATCCAATTTCTTAGTTACCGTGTAGCCGAAAACATTTTGATCACTTGCACTTTAAGCATCTGCAAGGGTTTTGTGCAGTTACTTTATATGTTTCCGTCTATGGTTTTTCCTTTAAAATATTAAAGAGGTCGGTTAGTTGAGGAAACTAGCCCTACGTAACAAATAAATATACAAGCTTTCCCCCTTCTTTGCCGTGTCTAGTTTAACTGGTAGCCGCGTAATGTAAAGGGTAAGCAACATTTTGTATTTTGGATTTCTCTGTGTTTTCCCTTCTTTTTTTATCCCCGTTTGCAGTAGAAGCCTTTTCTTCAAGTTATGCATTACACTCTTAAGTTTTGAAATACTATGTTTTATTATCATTGAGTAAAATTTATCCAAAACTTATATAATAATAAATGAAAGTAATTTTATTTACCGACTTTTACATAATTTTATCAATTAATAAAGGGTGTTAAAACAGCGTGAAACTGAAGAATCGTTTCTCTTCCCAAGTTTAAGACCTTATTTTTCCATCATCCACATTCTTAATGGACTAGGGAGTATGAAATAAATGGTTGGGCTTTCGGGTTCTCAGCAGCCCTTTCTATGTTGACTTTCTTTTATGCGAATAATCACAACACTTTACCGAAAAGAGAGAGAGAGAGAGAGAGCACCAAAATATTCCCATGATTTTAAAAAAAAAATAGCATACCAAATAATTGATGCTGTGGCCTCTTATCTTACTCGTATAAGAAAGGTAAGGATTTAGAAATCAATGTCGTACAAGAATAGTTATGGTGTATTGTTATAGTAAGCAACAGAAAATAATAAGATTGATAATGAAGCCAGCAGAGATGGATGCCTCTTACGATCTCATCTCACATTATTTCAAATAAACTCAAATCCATCTCTTACACGCTCTACAAGAAAATATTAATAACATGTTTGAAATAACTCATTTTAAGGACAATAGTTACTTTTAAAAAATAAAATAAAAACAATATTATTATTTCTTAAAACAAATCTAGACATTACTAAAACTTTCACTTTATTCATTTCGTGCTGCACTAGTTGGCATTTTTTAAAAAACTCTATCCTGATCCATCATTTCATAAATTAAAAATGAATTTGTCTGCAAGATTGATGTAGCTCTTTTAAAGTGAAGGAATATATAGAGTGAAAAAGTTATGACTTATTTATCATTCATTTGAATTTAAATGTTTTATAAATACTTCACTTTAAAGCAGTTAAAATTGTGCAAGATAAGTGTTAAAACCAATCAAAGCTAATTATATCTTGAAAAAGTATACTACATAAATATGTATAAATACTAAATAATTTTAATATATTATGAAATGTTAATGCGCCTTACATTGACTGAAATTTTGGTTATGTTTAAATAATCATCTTCTCTTGAATTATCTAGTAAAAGTTAGGTGGATTAAAAGTAAGATTTGAACTTTATAACCTATTATTTTTCTTGAGAATGCATTAAGGATATTGATTAAAAAATATTAAATATATTTAATTAAATATTTTATTTACTTTAAAAATAAAACATAAATAATTTTATATTTATAATAAATGTTTTAATAAAAATATGCACTTTTATTTATTTTTTAATCAATATGTAACACATTGTTAGAATGGTGCTTAAGAGACCCATCAAAGAGTGTAAGAAGGAAAAAGAAGAAATGAAAATGAGAAAGGAATATTTCAGCTCCCACCAACACACCAACACATAGAAGCATTCTATGAAACTCTATATACCAACCAACAAAAGACAAAACAATCAGTTGATAATTGAGGTTTAAAATACAGTGATCAGGTTTATATATGTAGATAGCAATATTCTATTTGATGAACAAATGCATTATGACAATATATTGTTAACCTTTAGCCTGTAGCTCATAGCGTAACGAATAATCTGGCAATGAAGGGGGCGAAGTCCGGCTAGGGTGTACAAATTTTCGAACGTAAACGTGGCATCATTAATATTGATGATAAGCTCGATGCTAAGTCGTCCTAGTGGACCACAAAAGCTATTGCTATTAATCTTATTTCCCAACGATTAAACTAAACAATTTTTTTTTCCATTCTCTGAGGGATTCTAAGTCTAAGCGCTCTTAAAAATCCAAACAAGCAGTAAAAAAGTCTTAATAGTCGGCTTATATTAAATTTAGCAAACGAGATTGTTTCTTGGTGTACTTTTCAGAATCGATTCCAAGTCATTGCTGCGAAAACAGGGTTACAAAGCAAAGCAGCGGAAAACACCGTGTTTTTGGCTATACGCTTCAAATGAAAAGGCTCTTACTTTGACTTTATATGTGAGTGCATTGCTTATTTCCCAACTTTTAAACCTAGTCCAAGTGAAAAGTATCTTAATTTTTTAAATGCAGAGAGCAAAAGTTGTTACTCTAACTGGCTTCCACAAATTAACAAGTTTACGTTTCAAGTGTTGAACACGTAAAGAAAATTCTTTAAAATGGTTTAGGTTTAAGAAAATTCTATATTTCATTTACGAATTCAATTACAATATTACGAGGCTATAATGTTAAATAACGATATAAGCACATACCTAATTGCAAATGTTTAACCTGCTTCTTTAACCAGAAGTGTTTGTTTTATATGCATAAACTTGCAATTGTTCATGCATTGCACGGATACTTAAAGAGTAAAATATGCAAAATATATAAATTAAAAAATTTAAACGTTAATGACTCTCTAATATTGTTCAATGGCCCAAGTCAAGGAGAATTCAAGCAGTGATATAATTGAATAGAATGAATGTTTTCTTTACAGCTTCATGGAGAGAGAGATTGGAGCTGGTGCTTGAACTAGAGTTTAGTTAATTTTATAACATATAACTATTTTATTTTTAATAAATTAATTATATAAAATCAAAAGTAATATATGGTTTTACTGAAGAGTAGGAAAACTCGTTTAGGAACCATAAATAATGCTTTTCATTATTTATGAACTAATGTCATTCACATTATATCGTTTAAGGATTAAGTTTATTACCCATCTTGTCTATCCACCAAATATATAAAATAGTTTATGAACTAATGTTTTCTTTTCATTATTTATGAAGTAATGTCATTCACATTTTCACTAATCATTATCGAATCCGGAACATATCTAAAAGAATAGTTTCATTATTTGATTATAAAAAAGATTACCTTAAAATTAAAGGCAGGTTTGTATGATCTCGCTTACATATACATAAAACGTTTTCGTCAAAAGAGCTCAAATGTGATTCATTTTAACTTATTAAAGTGGTTTATGATCTAAACTCCTACACGATAAAACTATTAAACAAACACTTGATTGAGCTTTTAATCTAAATATACCCTTGACAGAAGATTAACGAAATGACGCCCATAGGAATATCTCGGTGTCCGTAGACTTGAGAGATTGGTCGACATCTTGATTTGATTGTACAATAACAAAGGCTTAATTAGCCGTAATAATTAGATTACGTAACTAAATGAAATTGATATAAACTGCTAATAAGATTGACCTAGTAAAAAGTATAAGCCTGAAAAAAAATCGCTGGCAGACAGCCATTTGTTTTAATTTCGTGTTCACAAGACTAACAGAAACATCATCAATCATAAAAAAAAGAACGTCACGTGGTCCATACCACGAACGACACGCCAGTTAGGCAACGCAACCGTCCCATTTCTTCTGCAGTTAAAAGTTTTGGTTTTGGCAAGAAAATTGATACAGTACCGTTCAATTGAATTGAATAATTGATTTTGGGTGGACTTGGTCAACCAACTTACGGTTAGTTTCGGTCACACAAGGGGTACCGCTTCCAACTACAAGCTTAGTTGCCATTTACCAATGCAATCAAAAAGAAAAAAGAACCGGTCCTACCTCACATGTCATTTGGTTCAACACTTGGAATGCACACCACCATTACTGTTCCAATCAAACCCCAACTGTGAAAAACCAAAAATGTAACAATAAAATTGCTTTAGCCAAGTCACTAATTAAAGACATACTGAAAGCAATTCGTCCCATCATGCCTTAATCAATTTGATTCTCACAACATGATAGCCAAGCTCAGACAATGAATTACAAGGAATTTACAAAACAAGCAATAAGTTCCAATCCAGATATGATGTAGAAAGACACAAAAACTACTTAGATCTATTATCAAGTTGGAATCTACTTATAGATTCTCATGTGCTTTAAAAACTCTAAGATAGATTTATTTACCTCTATGTTCACGAAACAAATGGGTTAGTGGGAAACAAATATGAAACACCTAAATTCTAACCAGTCAGCGTAACTAGTTAATGACATAACAGAAGAAAACGAATCCAAAAAACTCCAAACCGAGGAAAACCAAGCACTGGCATCACCCTTCACTTCAGCGTTTCCAAGCATAAACAAGCAGAGAGAACCCAACCGGAACAACCAACTCATTCTCCTCAACGCTCGACCATTCCAAAACGGAGGAGCTTCCACCGAACGATCCTGCTGAGGAAGCCAACGACACCGACGAAGACGACCAACTCTTACCCATTTTGCCCCAATCATAAACCCCCAAATTCCACAAATTCACCAAGTTATTCCTCTCTCCAATCCCTTCCTCGTCCTCCTCTTCCTCGAACTTGAACATGAAAATGGCGTGTCCATCGTTGTTGTCCTTCTCGAATAACCAATTATAGAGGTCCCAGGAGATTTGAACGTTGACCCCATCCACTTGCACTCTCTCATTGCCCCTGAATTTCCACTTCAAGCGCTTAATCTGCAAGACGCTTTCTCCATCAACGCTGAAACAGAGCCTGGAATGGTCCCTGTAGGAACAATCTATCTGAATCTCTCTAGTTCTGCCGCCGAATCTGGCTCTGGTGGTGTAAACCTTGTCGGCGAACACATGTTCCCTTTTGAGGAGGAGGAATTGGGCCTTTTTGGGGTCGTGGGCTTTGGACTTGGAATAAGCTTCCTTGGCGGAATCGCCGACGAGAAGGGTCATTTCGTTGTCGACGACGAGGGCGACGTAGAAGGAGGAGTGGGGTTCGGGTCCAGAGGCGAATTTGGCTTTGGAGAGGTTCCAGAAGAGAAGGGTGTTAGGGGAGAGTTTCTTGGAGCCGTGTTTCTTCCAGAAGATGAAGGGTTTGATGTGGAGGTGGAAAGAGGGAGAAGAGAGGGAAGGGAAAGGAGGGGAATCGAATGGGTGGTGATGGAGGTGAACGTGCAAGGAACGACCCATTAGGGAGCGTGACCACGTCAGGGAAACGAGGCCTATGTCCGTGTGGTAGAGATAGGTCGTGAGGTTCGGGTGGGTCGAGTGCGGTGGCGGCGGAGGAGGAGGAGGGTGGGCATCGGATGTTGGGGAGGGGCGGAAGCAAGAAGGGAAGGGGGATGACATTTTTGTAATATTGTGTTTGGGTTTGGGGGTTTGGTTAATTTTAAGGTTGGTTTTTGGGGTTTGGGAAATGTGAGGGGTTTGTTCGGAGTGTGAATTGTAATTTGGAGGTTTTTAGTTTTGGAAAGAATGGAAAGGAACGATGGTTTTATGGATGGGAGAAAGGAAAGGAAGACAGAAAGGAAGACCCTGTCTCTGACCCTCTGTATAGTTGCACTTTGCATAGTTTCATGTATTAAAAGGAGTTTCCACCAGCCAAGTCCTTTTCTCTTCCTACATTACAGATTGGACCGCCAAAATTAATCCATCACTGTCACTTTTCCACTCTTCTGTTCAAATAGTTTCCCATTTTTGCAACTATCAAATTACAATTACAACTCTTGAGCTGTTCATCATATGTCAATTAATCAATCAATTAACCAATTCAATTTTTATTATAAATTACTAAATCAAAATCTATTCATGGCATTCAATTTTATTTCTTAATTTTTCATTTATTAATTAATATCTTAAGAATAATTGCTAACGTGTTTTTTTTAAATTAAAAATATTTTAATTACTCGTTGCTAATTATTAACGCGTTTTTATATTTTATAAATTAAGTAATGTGATTATTTTAATTACATTAAATGGTCAAATTGAATTCGTCCCTAGCTCGTACTCCTGAATTGTGATAAGCTTTGGAGGGACAACCCCAAATCTTACTGGCTACTGATTGGACTCTTTGTTTTTGTTTTTCTATTTTCTAATTACCGTTGTTGCCTGTGATGATCGAATGTGTTATTTGATATAGTACTGGATTATGTGTTTATTCCTCAATCGTTGCAATTAAGTGGTAGGATTCTTCAATTGCTCATTTTGAGAACCCCACTCATAGTGTATGTCGAGCATGTACGAACTTCATTGTTATACTCTCCTAAAAACTAAAAGTTAATATGAATTACATTTGAATGCAGCGTTATTTATCATCGAGCTAATATAAAGAGGTAAAAAAATATCCTGTCAAAATTTGAAGCACAGTAAAAAATACTTTTATGTATTAATAGTGATAGACTTGGTACAATATTCTGAATGATCATAACAGTGATAGCTCAAACTAAAGCTTACTTTAGATAAAAATTATATCTTAAAATCTTTTTTACTTGTTCTTTTATTTTCAACTATTTTATCGGTTGGTTTTACTGATCACATTTTTAATGTTTATTAAATAATTCAATGATAAAATATGCCAAAATATTGTTAGGAAATAGCTTGATAAAGTGATCGACACGTTCACGACGACGTGCCCAGTATTCGAATGGTCAATCCCCGGAAATGCCGAGCAGTAGTCACAAAATTTAAAATTGAATAATCTTAATTATATATTCCATTTTTAAGTTGCAAGAGGTAAAATGAAGAAAGAGAAAGAAACTAAAGAATATAAAGAAAAATATGCTAAGATAGAAAAAATGAAGAAGAAATACTATGTAGTGGTAATTGACAATGAATAAGATAAAAGTATTATAATATCTGTTCTCATGTTTATATTTAAAAAAAAAGAAGTTGTACTTATTTTTATATTCTCATGATTAAGAAATTTGGGCGCTTATTTTGGTATCTTTACATCTTAAATAGTTTTTCTATTCTTTAAATAAATTAATAGTTTTTAAACATGTGTACTATATTTATTATTCAATTTTTTATTTTTTAATTCAAAATAAGAATTTCAAAATTTTCAATTTTATCAAGAAATGTCTCGAATTTTATTACATAAAATCTAAAAAAAAAGTAAGCTTAAACGTGTAAAATTTCTCTTATAATCAATTTAATCTTGTAAAAAATTATAAAATTATTTCACCGTTAGCTATCACTATCGAATTTTTGTACTTAAAAATACAGTAGTCTATGAACATTTTCCGTCCTCTCAAATTATGGATATTTTTATGATCTATATTTTAATATATTATTTAATTTTTAATATTAATAGAATAAATATTCAAATATTAATTACACTAATTAATTTATAAGTATCATAGTTACTTAATATAATACTATAAAATATTTTAAATTATCATAAATTTTTAAAATTCAAGGTAGTTTTAACGTGTAAAATTCCTCTTAAAATCATTTTAATATAGTAAGATAGTACAAAATTATTTCACTGTTCGATATGACTATCGAATCCTTATATATAAAAATAAAGTAATTTAGGAGTACATTTTCTATCGTCTCAAATCATGGATTTTTTTTAATTTATATCTTAATGTATTGTTTGATTTTTCAAGTATTAACTGTATTAATTAGTTTTAAATTATTAATTTATTTAATACCGTGCTTTCAAATTTCTTAATTTTTCAAATTGTGATGATTTTTTAAAATTTAAATTATTTAATTTTAAGTAACATCGTTTTCTTTTTATGTTATAAGTACCTTTATATATAAAAATAAAGTAGTTTAAATAGTTTTTTCACTCAAATTTGGAGTATTATTATAGTCTACCTTTTAATATTTTAACCATAAATCGTCAATTATTCAATCATTAATTGCATTAATTAGTTTAAAAATATCTTAATGACTCAATGTTGTGCTTCAATATTTCTGAATCTTTTAAATTATTATAATATTTATAAAATTATAATTTTTATAATTATTTTTTTTCTTCTTATTTTATAAGTGTATTTATGTATAAAAGTAGTATAGATAATCATATACACATGATTGTATTTTACTGATTTCATTAACAATGTGTTGTAGAATTTACCACGATTTTAATCAACGTCCTTGTATCTTTTGTGTAATTAAAATTTTAAACTCATCTTCATTATTTATAGTTTATTTATTTAAAATATATTATCAATATCTTTTTACAAATCAATAACATATAAATATCATTATATGAAATAAAAATATTCGTTGAAAATATATAAATAAGCTTGTAATTTTTTTTAAATTAAAATGGGTATTATATGTTTATTTGCTATGTATACTTATTAAGAGAGAATAAGAAATAAACAATATATTATGATAAAAAGCGATAAATAAATAAGAACGATAAAAATATTACGCAGATGTCATTATTAATTAGAAAGTCACTACACAATAGTTTACCGAACTCAACAAGTACCAGCCTCACCCCCACATTAACGTTATCAAATAGAAAAAAACTTGTAAATTACACAATTATAACTAGTATAAGAGTTGCGAGTTAAATAAACCAATATGTAAATTATCATCTAAATGCTCAATCTTAATACTCTTTTCATTTCACATTATTCCAATATTTGGTGTTGACTTTTGCAAACAAGTCATGTCTAAGTTTTATATTTTATGGGAGAAGTGGTTGGTTTTCTAGTTAAAAGTTTTGGTCTTTAAGGTTGAAACTTCTTCTTTTTTTTACTTGTCTTGTTTTCAATTGATATGAAACTTTATTTTTTAACACTCTCTTTCAATTTCAATTAAACCAATTTAATTTATTTGTAACTTGCCTTCAGATTTCAGCCTAAACTTGTACCCTTTTTTTGAGCTTCGGAGGCTTATAGGTCTTCAACATTTATTTGTTTGTCTCTCTCAATGAATTCTTGTCTCTCTTTTTTTAGACGTCAAGTGTCACTAAATCTTTGTTATTGAGCCTCTCTCTCTCCTTTCAATATTTTGTTACTTCTTTTTTTATTAAGCTTTGAATTTTGGGTCAAAATCTTTTTCTTGGAGAACAAATGGGTTGTGAAGCTCTATCAACTCTAATATTATACTAACTTTTACATATGATCTTGATAGGATCTAATGCATTAGTACTAGTATAATCGCACTAGGTTTGGAAGAGTACGCATTTCACTTTTTATCATATACAATTTGGACAACTACAATTTGGTGTGTGTGGACTCATAAGAATGTAATTATATTATAAAATGAAAGTGCAAATTCAAATTGAGTTTCACAGAAAATCAAAAGGAAATCATAGAGGGACATTATATGCCCATTTGCCATAATTACTGGTGCCTGAAGTCGAAGGAGATTGTGAAGCTGTTATTCCCAAGTTAATGAAATATGATAGGAAGTGAGATATAAAGTCATTAGGTTGTTATCATTTTGGTCAAGTACAGGTTTTTTGTTTCTTGTTCTTCTTGTTTTTTTTTTATGTGGTTTTTAATTATAAAGGCCACATAATTTCACACTAGGTCCTTGTAAACATTTATTCTCTCCCTATATTTAGCTTAATTATGTTTTTAATTTGTGAGATTGGATATGTCTTATCCCCTCCCTTTAGCTAAGTCAAGTTCAACCTTAAGGGATTGGATATAAGTGAACCTAAGCAAAAGTAAATATGTGTATACTGCGTGTAAAGTTCTTCTTATGAAATACTATTTGTGCTCTTGTGAGTAATATAAAGTATTTTGATGATAAAAAAACAAAGGAGCCTAATATAAGTCTTTACATATATATCAATCTTCTAACTAGGGATTTTAGCTTAAGAATGTAACTTTGTCCAAAATGTCATGATTAAGCTTGTACACCTCTTGTTTACATGCCTTTTACTTTTCTTATTTCCAATTAATATTAATTAAACTTTGTTTTTAGCATTTTAGCGTGATTTATAAAGCAAATCTACTTGAATTGCATATTTCAGAGTCTTGATTAAAATCCATTAGAGGAATAACATGGATTAAATTTGCTTAAATCTAATCTAAATCTATTTTAAATCTAATTATGTAGATTGAATTTTAAACTAATCCATATTTTACTTTTTTAAAAATGGATTAAAACTGGTTTTAAAATTTAGATTTAGTTTAAAACTGATTTTAATAATATAAATATATACTTTTATTTTATTTAATATAAATTAACATTATAAAATATTATTACAAATTAATATTTCAAAAATATCATTATAAGATATAAAATTTATTAATATACAAATATATATATATATATATATATATATATATATACTTTCTTAAACATACCAAGATTTATAAATATATACTTTTATTTTATTTAATATAAATTAACATTATATAATATTGTTTGGGAAAAGGAAATTTTTTCTAAATTATAAAGATCTTATCAAACTAAAGATCTTAGGCTCTCACATTGACAAATCAAATATTTGAAAAATTATTTAAGTCTTAAATTCATCTTGAAGATTCTACTCTTCGAAGAGTTTTAGAAGTATTTAGAAAATAATTTTTTTTCCATAATGAAGAAACTATATTTTGAGGGGTTTTAGA